GGTGGCAACGGTGGCTCAAGCCCGCAGGCCCCCGCCGAGGGCGGCTCCCGCTGGAACGTCAAACACCACTGGGACATCACTATCAAACCCATCTCCTCTTTAACCAAACGGACGCTGGACCAGCCCAAGCCCACCCCGCAGGACCCCCCCACCACCGTGGGGCCCAGCCAGGAGCCCCAGGGGACAGCCTGCCAAGCCCCTCTGGATTATCGGACTAGCGTCCCCAACAAGGCCACCGCCGGGTGCAGCAGCCCCCCCACCTCTGTGCTCCTGTCTCCAGCCGCGTCCCCCTGCCGGGACCAGGAGCTGCGGACTCCCAGCGCCCAGCCCAGCCATGCTGCTGCCAAGAGGTCCCTGCGCTGCTACCGGAGACCCCAGGACTCGCCCAGCCCCTCTGCCAGCAGCTGGAGGGCTGGTCGGAGCCGTGCCAGCCGCTCTTTCAGCTCCAGTTCGGATGGAGCTAGCGAGTCCTCATCGTCATCTTCATCCTCGTCTTCCCGGTCACGGTCATTCTCCCCACCACCCAAGCGGTGGCGAAGGTAAGCAGCGGAGTGTCTGCTTGCTCTTTGGACAATTGCCTGGTGCCTGGTCTTTTGTGAGGGTGCCCAGACACCTCTTTATGGACCTGCCTGATGGCTGTATTTGATCTTTTTGTCTTTGTGGTCCCCATGAAGGGGTGCCTGGCTCGCAGAAACTGGGGGAGCTGCTGTGACACCCTCCTAGGGCAGCGGGTGTCTGAACCGCGTATCTAGCCAGGTGTGCCTGCAGAACCACTTCTGAGCCAGGCTTCTCTCCCCCTCCCGAAGCACCACGCTACGAGTCCTTGGCTGTACCTTGGCTTTTGGATGCTTTTTCTGGGGTATTATTGCAGGTGTTGGTGTTTGTGCTGTGGGGCTGGTACAGCCCTAGGTGTAGGAATGAGAGGAGCCACAATGGCAGCAGGGAGCTGCTGGAGGCAAGCAGAGCAAGACTTGTCTGATTTGGCTGCCTCGGGGTTCCCTGTGCTCCCTGTGGAGGTGGCTGCATAGGAAAGTGGGGCAGCTTGCTCTCTGCGGGAAGCACTTTTGGAGTCCTTGTGCATCCGAGTGATGCACAGACGGTCCCAGCTGGGGTGGGAGGCACTGGAGCTGGCAAGGGATCCCTCATCTGCCCTTCCTTAGGTGTTCATCCAGTTTTGGAGGCATCCCAGGTCACCAGGCATGAAGGGCCTGTCCAGCCAAGGCCCCCCCATTGGTGGCCACTAGGTGTGGAACCTGGAACAGGAAAAGACACTTACATAGTGCCCTGTCCCAGGGATGTGCAGCTCAGGGGCTTGCCCTGTCTGGCATTGCTTCTTAGCAAATGCAGCTGACCCTGTGCCTGGAAATGTCCCCATGGACTGTGCCATCCTGACCTACTACTGTTCCTCAGGAGAATACGTGTCAATACCAGGCAGCACAGCCTGGTCGGGGCCTGGGTTTGCCTGTGGTGGAGACCTCCTGTGGGCAGCATGTTTAGAGGGACCCTGTCGCTGGCTGGAGGCAGTGCAGCTTGATCGCAGAGCGGTTTCAGTCCTGGTGCCCTTAAGCTTTTTGTGGCCCTGTCAGAGAGACTCTTGTAGGCAGGAGGCCGTGAGGACAGAAGTCCAGCTCTGTCCCAGTGTGTGCCACAGCTCTTGGTGTGGTCGGACACACATGTGGTCTCCATTCGTGTGGCTGTTGAGTGCAGTATGGGTGTGATGGCTCCAGTGTCATGCTGTACACCGTATGGGGCTCGGCACGGCAGCCCCGGCCCCTCCTGGGTCCCTGCCTGGCCATAGCCATGTGCTGCACAGTTCCCCCCTCCTCTTCAGAGGCTGTGCCTGGTGTGAGCCTGCTCCCTTTTCACTGCAGTGTTTGGAACCAAGTGGAGCAACATCTTTGCAGTGTTGTTACTGCCCTTGGCAAACTCAGGCAGGGGTTTCCATAGCCCAGCTCACCCTGGAGATGGGTTTGGTCCAGAGTGGGGTGCTGGGTACCTCGGGAGGATGGAGATCTTAGTCTTCTCCAGAGCCTTGTGGTGCTGGGCACAGGGAGGGCTGGGTACTGAGCTGTGTCTCTCCTTTCCCCAGGTACCACTCAAGATGTTCTCACCGATCCTCCTCCCGCTCCAGCTGTGGGTCGTGTGGCAGGTCCCGGGACAGGTCCTCATCCTCATCGTCAACGTCCTCCTACTCATCCAGGTCTACATCCCGCAGCCAGTCCCGGTCCCGCTCCCCCTCGCCTCGCAGGAAGAGTAACAGGCGGAGAAGGTGAGTGTGGCCACCCTGCAGGGGTGTGAGCTTCCCCAGACCCATCTCCCGGCCTCCTGTGTTCCGGGCAAGGGTGGACCCACTCTTTCAGTATCTCCCTTGTGTCCTGGATCGCTCTCTTCTGGCACCCCCATGACCCTGTAGCTCATATGTCTGGTTTCTGCCCTGTCAGATACAGTTACGATGCACAGGACCACTACCAAAGGCAGAGGATCCTCCAGAAGGAACGTGCAATAGTGAGTGCTTTGGGGCTGGGGATTTGGGGCTCCCCAACCCCTCCAATAGCTTCAGAAAGCAGTGGGGTCACAGCCTTGCAGGCAGCACTGCTGGGAGGCTCTGGCCAGGGCATGGTGTGAGGGGTGGCGATGCAGGGAGGGTGATCTGTGCGAGAGGTCCTGCTCACTGGGAGGGCTTGGAGCTGCTGAGCCGTTTTCCGTTCCTGTCTGACGGGGTGGTGCATCCCTGCCCACAGGAGGAGCGGCGAGTTGTGTTCATTGGCAAGATCCCCAGCAGGATGACCCGGTCGGAGCTGCGGCACCGCTTCTCTGTGTTTGGGGACATCGAGGAGTGCACCCTGCACTTCCGCTCTGAAGGGTAAGAGCTGTGGGGGCATGGGACAGCCCCTTCCCAGGGATGGCCCCTCTTTTCCCGTTCCTCAAGGATATGGGGCAGGCCAAGGGAGGAATGACAAAACGTACTGCGTTGCTGCTGATCTCCTTCCTTCTCCTTCTCTGGCTGCAGGGATAATTATGGCTTTGTCACCTACCGCTATGCTGAGGAAGCCTTTGCTGCTATTGAGAGCGGGCACAAGCTGCGGCGCCCAGACGAGCAGCCCTTCGATCTCTGCTTCGGCGGCCGCCGGCCGTTCTGCAGAAGGAACTATGCCGACTTGGGTGAGTTGCGCAGCCCCCAAGCTGGGGGAGAGCAATCTAGATCCACTCCCCTTCCCAGAGGTGGGAGGGTCCTCATCTTTGGGGTCTGTCCCACTTGGCTGGGCAGGGCCGTGTCCAGGGATGGTCCTGCCCTGATGGGAGGTTGGATGGGGCTCCCCGTCCATCCAGCGCTGTGATAGAGGCCAGGTCCAGTCCTCCATCAGCCCAGCTCTGGGTCTGGAGGTTGGCATGTGAAGCAAGATGGGAAGGAGTGGCTGCAGGGGTGGCCAGAACTGTGCTGTTGTGCCCATGGCTCAAGGCAGCCTCTCCCCCATGTCTTCCAGACTCAAACCGGGAGGATTTTGACCCAGCCCCTGTCAAGAGCAAGTTTGACTCCCTGGACTTCGACACGCTGCTGCGGCAGGCACAGCGCAGCCTGCGGAGGTAGCGGCAGGCGAGGCGGAGCGCCCGCCCCTGCTTTTTTACTCAAATACAAAAGACAAAAAAGTATGGAGAGAGAGAGAGAGAGATGAGGTTTTTAAAAAAAAAAAAAAAAGAAAAAGGAAAAAAACAAATTTGTTTTATAACCGATATTTAAAGGAGGATGGGTCATTTGCCTTTGACCAGAAGGGCCCAGGCAAGTGGCAGCCACAGGCTTTGCCCCGCCCGGGTAAAA